AAGGGTTTAATCTTCACAATTTATAGGGAACTCATACAACTTAACAAAAGGAAGATAAAGAATCCAATCAAAAAATGGGCAAAGGACCTAAGTAGACACTTTTAGAAAGAGGACACATAGAAGGCCAAGAGACATATGAAAACATACTCAAAGTCACTAATCATCCAAGAGATGAAAATCAAAACAAGTATGAGGTACCATCTCACACCTGTCAGAATGGTTATCAACAGAGCAACAGATGACAAGTACTGGAGAGGATGCAGAGAAAAAGGAACCCTCTTGCACTGCTGGTGGGAATGCAGACTGGTGCAGCTACTGTGGAGAACAGTATGGCATTTACTCAAAACATTAAAAGTGGAACTCCCATTTTACCCAGTAATACCACTTCTAGGAATATATCCCAAGAAAACAGAAACACCAATCAGAAAGATATATGTACCCCTATGTTCTTAGCAGCAAAATTTACAATAGGTAAGATTTGGAAACAGCCCATCAGTAGATAAGTGGATTAGAAAACTGTGGTACATCTACACAATTGAATACTATGCTGCTGTAAAAAAGAAGGAATTCTTACCATTTGCAACAGCATGGATGGAGCTGGAGAGCATTATGCTAAGTGAAATAAACCAGTCAGAGAAAGATAAATATCACATGATCTCACTCATTTGTGGAATATAATGAACAACATAAACTGATGAACAAAAATAGAACCAGTAGGGAAAAGAAATATTTTAGAATCTAATATAAGTAATCCTGTTATTTGCAGATTTTTAATATTTCCTACAACTTTTTGATCTCATACTATGTTAGTACAGTTTTGATAATATTATTATATCTAAAATCCTTTTTTCTTGAAATACTAATGTTCATTGCATGTAATATTATATTTAAGATCATTTTTTCTTGAATAATTTCATGTAACATATTTAAGATAATTTTTCTTGAAATGTTAACGTTTATTGCATGTAACATTTTTATATTTAAAATAGTTTTTCTTGAAAAAATATTCACTTCTAAAAAAGTAGTAAGTACAGATTTTAATCAGTAATATACTCTTGCAATAAGGAGAAAAATGAACTGAACTCAACTTCAGTTTGCACAGAGTTGACTGGTGTTTTAAAGGGAGAGTGAGGGAGTACGGTGTGGGGCAAATAGGGGCTCTGTAGTCACGGAAGTGAAAAATCACAACAAAGGGGATGGGGACTAGTCCAAGTGAAATCCATCTGGGTTTGTTAACTAGCACTCATCAAAGTAGGGCTCCAGTCTCCCCAGAGGCTGGGAGACAGCCCCCCCTCCCCCATCTTCAGGTGTTGGGTGGAACAACCAATTAAGTTCTTGTGGCAGTCTTGAGTTTTCTTAGGCAGGTACTTTAAGGGGGCTGGGGTTATTATAGGGATGTGACCTTGAGCTATTTCTAAAGATGTCTTAACATAAAGATATCTTCAGATGTCTGAAGTTTTTTTCTCCTCCATTGGTTTATGAATTCTTTATACATTCTGGGTACAGATCTTCTGTTATTTGTGTTACATATATTTTCTTTATTCTGTGGCTTGCCCTTTTACCTTCTGAATATTGTATTTTTTTAATGAAAAGAGATAGAAGTTCTTAATTTGAAGGATTAAATTTGTCAATATTTTCTTTTATGGTTAATGCTTCCTTATGTTTTTTTTTTTTTTAAAAAAATAGACTTTGTTTTTTAGGTTTTATGTTCAGTTTTAGCACAGCAAAATTGAAAAGTACAGAGAGTTTCTATATATTCCCTGCTCCCAGATAGCCTCCCCAGCTATCAACATCCAGTACCATCACGGTATATATAACTGATGAAGCTACTTTGACCCGTCATTATCACCGAAAGTCCATAGTTTACATTAGGGTTCACTCTTAGTGTTGTACATTCTGTGGGATTGGACAAATATATAATGAAATGTATCCATCATTATAGCATTATACAGAATAGTTTCACTGCTCTTATAATCCTCTCTTCCCTGTCTTGGGTTGTTTGTTTTCTTATTGTTGAACATTAGGAACTCTATATTTTGGATAACAGTCATTTGTAGCATTTATGCATTAGGCTTAATTTCTGTTCCATGTTCCCCCAACTTTGAGGAGCATCAATAATGCACCTTTTGTCCTTGCAGGAGCATTAGAACCTTAGCTCCTAAGTTCTAGGGTCTAAAATCCCATGGGGGCACTTAGAATGCGCTCACCCTGGCTTTGATTTCTCCCCTCCTCATTTTTTTGGGCCTCAGAGAAAACTGCCCCTAAATCAAGATACAAGATTTCACTACCCCTTAAAGGGATGTGTGGTTGTAATGGGGTAGGTGAATCTTGGTGTGGGCAGCTCAGAATAGTGGAACAACACCTTGAGTTTTAAGCTGACAGTAGCTATCACTTACCAGCCAAACAAATATATGATGATGATGATGTGAATTTTCTAAGTAGTTTGGTCATGTGCTCTTTTGCAAATACAGTTATTAGTTAAATACTCTTCCTTTTCAGATGTGCGTTCCAAACAGGAGTACGATGAAAGCCATGTGATTACAGCCCGTCGAGTGAAGAAGGTATCCTGGTAGAGTCAGAATCTGGGGCAGGTTGGCTGTCTTACAGAAGATGGGAAGAGTGGGAAGATTTATCCTAGATCCAGGAGGTGGCATCTACTGTTGGACAGTTTGGGCAGCAGAGGCAGGACCACCCTTGTGCATCCAACATGAGGGTCTCCCACACTCTCACACACTCCCTAGGGTGTCCCTCCTACCACCATGGTCAAAAGCTTCATAAAACAAATATTGATTTAATTCCTTTATGTGCCAGGCACTGTTCCAGACCCTGGCGATAGAACAAAATACAATATGCCCTTAATTCATTGTCCCTGCCCTCTCAGAGCTTTTGTTTACTTAGGGAACAAACCAGAAGAGAGTCTGTTCTATATACATTTATCCAATATGGTTTGTTCTACTTGGGGAATAGACCATATGTTTACTGTAACTCAAAGATTGAAACAGCTCCCTCCCATTTCCATCAGATCCCTTCCCATCTTCCTTTCTCCATCCAACTATTTAAAAAGATAAAGCCCTTCTTCAGCAGTCACCATGCCCGACTCCGGGAGTGAGGCCCTTTTCTCTCCCTCCATGGGGTATCTTCTTTCTCAAGACATTGTCAAGCCTGGCAGCCTTCACTCAGGATCCATCTCTGATCTCTGCAGTCCTGACCACATTCTCTGCCCTTGACTTCCAGGTTCTTTCTTGCCTCCCGGGTTCCTTCTCTGTCTCTTTGGTTCAGCTTCATTTTCTCCTTCTGCTACCTATAAAGAAAACCACTGGGCTATCTTTGGTCTCCTTCAGATCTATTAGTATATTTTCTTGCTCAAAGATCTTACCCCATCACCATAGCTAAGATCTGGAAACAGCCTAAGTGCCCATCAGTAGATGAATGGATTAGAAAACTGTGGTACATCTACACGATGGAATACTATGCTGCTCTAAAAAGGAAGGAACTCTTACCATTTGCAACGGCATGGATGGAACTGGAGAGTATTATGCTAAGTGAAATAAGCCAGTCAATGAAGGAAAAATACCACATGATCTCACTCATTCAATGTAGATGTGACTCTTCTAATACAAGGTACTAGAAAACTCTCTTTGTAAAATTATGAATTCAAGTAAATAACTGTTTATCATAATAAAATAATAATTTGTTTAGGTTTGGCTCAGTGGATAGAGCGTCGGCCTGTGGACTGAAGGGTCCCAGGTTCGATTCCGGTCAAGGGCATGTACCTTGGTTGCCGGCACATCCCCAGTAGGGGGTGTGCAGGAGGCAGCTGATCGATGTTTCTCTCTCATCGATGTTTCTAACTCTCTATCCCTCTCCCTTCCTCTCTGCAAAAAATCAATAAAATATATTTAAAAAAAAAAGAGAGATCTTACCCAAGCTTCCAGCTTCAAGTATGCACATAGTTGAGCTGTCCTGTCAATTTTACTTCTAAAAGTTTGTCCCACTGCCACTTTGGTAATTCTAACTCTCGCTCTTTCCCAGACATAACTCGACAGGGAGCATGGGCCCTGGCTCATGTATTTTTCCAGGATAAGCTTACTGTCTAACATGCTTTCCCAAGCACAATCCATCTTTATCTTTTTTTTTTTTGGTGTGCTTTTCTATTTGTTTTTTGCCCTTGGATTTTCAACTCCCTGGCTCCATTCCTCTAGCTCTAAATCCCCTGCATTTCCTTCTTTGCTTTTTGTATTCTATTCAGAGCCCTTTCAAGATGCATGGCCTTCAGTTTTCAACTCAACTCTCAAGTGTGCATGTCCCTTTGATTCTGTAGCACCCCCAACTCTGGAAAAGAGCCGTTCTCTCTATCTCAGCCCTTCAGAGCCCCTTAGGCAGACTGACACCTCTTGCCTCCCTTCACCAATGTTTTTTCCAGTAGATTGCGCCTTTAGGGAACTCCCAGCCTCAGTAGGACACAGAGCCTCTCTACCTGATGCACCTCCCTCTCCAGCCTTATCTCCAGCATGCTTCTCTCACCTAACACCTCAATAGCATTGTCCTGCTGCATTTCCTTGGTTCTAAGATGCCCATACCTCCAGCCCCCCATATTTTCACATTTCTAAAATTGGAATGTACCCTACAATTGATTTGCCTGAAAAACACATCTGTTATTTTCTGCCTGGCACTCTGCCTCACCCCGCCCTTTTTTGAGGGGGAACTTCTCTCCCTGCTCAAACCAGGGGGGTCTAGTGGTGCTCCGTACAATAGTATCCAAACCCTGGCCACAAATCAGCCAAGGATAAAAACTGAACAGCTTAGAATTGGAATTAAAGAAGGCAGCTCTTTCTATTTTGGTAATGAAGTTTGGAGGATTGGAGTCTGAGCATCGCTATGGCTGGTGGCCATGACATGGGCTTCAGGAAAAGTCTGAGAAGGTGAAGTCAGTGTGCAGGGGAAGCAGAGGAGGGGAGCCTGAGAGGGTGGTCTGGGCTTTAGAACCCTGGTTCAGGTTTTACTTGGGACCAGTTGCTCCCTGCCCTACCTGGAGTATTGTGATATGCCAATAAATCCCTCTTTTTATGTACACTCCTGATTGCAACTGTTGTTAAATTGGTGGTGCATCTTACAACCAGTGGTCTCTTAAGATCTAGGAAATAGAGTCCATGTGGATCTCTGAACATACTGCTCTCTCTGAGTCCAGAGTGGGAGTATGCGTTGTTCATTATTGCATACTGGATGCTCTGTCTGGTTCCCGATATCAGGTCGGTACTCAGTAGCTTTTTGTTGACTAAAGGGAATGACTGGAAGCTGTTCCTTCTGCCTCAAACACCCCTCCAGTCCTTGTCCATCTGGCAAATTTCCATTTGCCTTTGAAGCTTCATCTCAAATGCCTCCTGCCCTGTGCGCCTTTCTGAGTCCTCCAGACCAACTCAGGCAATTTCTCTTAAAAAAAATTTTTTTTATCGAACCATGAACCAAGAGGTCACTGGTTCAATTCCAGGTCAAAGCACATGCCTGGGTTGTGGGGTCAATCCCCAGTAGGGGGCATGCAGAAGGTAGCTGATCAATGTTTCTTTCTCATCAATGTTTCTGTACCTCTCCCTCTTCCTTCTTCTCTCTCTGAAAAATCAATAAAATCGTATTTAAAAAAATCTCTGTATTCCAGAACCTACAGTGTAAGTGCAAAGTAGGTTCTGAATGAATGTTTATTGAATAACTGGATGAATGTCCAGCCACACCTCTCCCTGCTCTCCCATTTGCTCCACTTTTCCCTTTGCTCATCCTCTTTTCCACACCCAGAACCCCCCCTTTCCTCATTATCACCTGAATGAATCCTGCTCATAATCTGAGCACCAACGGTCTGCTAATTCCTGTAGACAAATATGATTTCTCCCCTTCAGGTTACAGAGAACTTCCCGGTACCTGTATGGGCTTTATCTCTCTGCCTTGTAGAGTAGATGTGTACTAGTCCTAGCCCACATGCAGATCCTCTGTCAGGGCCTCTATGTCAACCAGACTAGTCCCAAGGGACAGAGTAAGACTCAGGTTCCCCTGAGTTAGTGGGGACTTTCGGGAAGCATTGAGAACAAATGAGGACTGACCTCCGGGCCGGTGCCCTGCCAGGTCTCTGGAGCTCTGGAATTCCCTTTGGGATCCTAGGAAGGTCTGGTTCTGTGAGAGCTCATTCCCTTGTGGGCAGAAGGCACCCGTTGTTCCTGCCCTTGTGTCCACCATGATGGTGACTCAACCACTTCCTAACTACTCTTCATGACCTCATGGACCTGTTTGCCCATTCCTTCCTTTAACCATATTTATGGCCTAACGTGCCAGGCATTGTTCTAGAAATTCAGGATATATCAGTGTTCCTGCTCTCACAAAGCTTATATTTGAGCTTACAGTTGGCCTCATTTTATCTGCTTGCTTATGACTTCCGCTTATTCAAATGTTCTTATGAGGGATTTTGGCTTTGGCCCCTATCAACAACCACTTGCCCCCAGAGATAGGGTATGTTAGTTCAGTTGGTGAGTCAGTAGGCAGGCTGTTCTTTGGCCAGGCACTTATTTCTGGTCCAGTCCACTGTGGTCAGCTTTTCATAGCAGGGGATGAAGGTGTGGAAGATCATTGGAATTTAGTAGACTCTCCAGTCTCTGTGCCCATGTGCAGTCAGGCAAACAGGCGCAGTCCTACCTCCAGATCCTCCTGGTGCTGGTGTGCAGGGAATATTTGTTCATCTGAACCCACCTGCCAACAAGCTTCTCTTGTGGTTTCTTTAGGAGGAAGATGAATATCTTATCCCGGAGTCTGTGGATCTAGAGTGTGTGAAGTACTGTGTGGTGTATGATAAAAATTCCAGCTGCCTGGACCTAATTATAAAAGATGACAGTGACAACTCTGACAGTAGTAAAAACGGTAGGTTTTACACTAGCCATAGAATAAGTTAACAGTTATTCAGCACTTCGGACACATGCCAGGAACCATGTCAGGTGCTCTCCCTGGGTCAACTCCTGCAGTCTGCAGTACCTCCCTAGGAGGATGGCAATATGAAGAACTGGGAAGAGCTCTGAACCTGCCACCATTTCAGAGATGCTGGCCGAAGACATGAGGCTCCTGGGTCAGAGACAAAGGACTTTATTACTCAGAGCAATTAAAAATAACCAGAATGTCTTCATTTTCCTGCACTGGTGCCCAAGTCTCAGTTCTCACAAGGTGACATGAAGACAGCCAAGTACACTGATTCATGTAGTGCATTGTATTTTAGAAGAACTCTGAGCTTAGGGGGCCTGAATCTTTTGTAATGGGCAGAAGCCTACCCATCCTTGGCTCCGGAGGAAGAAACAGTCTATCTTCTAAAGCTGTTGGTTATATAAATATCCTTGAAAAGCCACTGTCTTGTTTAAAGGACCTGTCAAGATGTGAGAGACCATGGAGAATTGTCTCACAAAAGGTAACATCCCCATTTTATAGATGGGGAAATTAGGGCCCAGAAAGGCAAAGTAAGTTGCCTAAGATCTCACACCTAGAGAATGATCTATTGCCATATAGCAAACTACCACCAAACTCAGTAGCTGGATATAACCAACAGTAATTATCTCATAGTTTCTGTGGGTCCAGAAATGAGGAGCAGCTTAGCTGGCAGGTTCTGGTACGGTCTATCCTGAGGTTGTAATCAAGGTGTCAGTCAAGATTGCTGTCACTGGAAGGTCTGACTAGGCCAGGATGCTCTCCGTCTGAGATTACTCGCTCACATGGCTATAGCCAGGAGGCCTCAGTTTCATTCTGGCTGTTGGTAGGAGACTAGTTCCTCACCGCATACACCTCTCCATAGGACTGCTTGCATGGCCTCGTGACAGCTGGTAACCCCCGCCCCCCAGAGTGAGTGATCAGAAAGAGAGAAAGAAAGGGAAAGCCACACATGTCTTTTATGACCTAGTCTTAGGGCTTATACACAGTTGCTTCCCCACATTCTATTCATTAGAGGGAAGTCACTGAGTATAGTCTACCCTCAAGGGGAGGGGAATTAGACTCAACCTTTTAAAGGGAGGCATTTGAAAGAATTTGTGGACTTAAAAAAAACAAACCCACACCTAGTAAGTGGTGGGGCGAGGATTCAAACCTAGGCAGTTTGGCTCTGTCCAGTCTTCTAAGGCCTGAGTAGTGATGTTGGAAAACAATGCAAAGTCACTCCAACCCTGAGCTGGAGCATTAAAACGTGATTGGTTCTAATGTGCTTTACTGATGTTCCACAGCAACCTCCATTCAGTCACTGCTTTGGGCTGACCGCCCCTGGCCATTGACATGGGGCTCTGCTGTTTGTGGCTCAGTCACTGTGTAGGTGGGTCTATGAGCTGGGGCATTCACACAAATGGTCACTGGGTGGCACTAGGTTTCCACCTTTAATAAAGCCAGTCTTCCCAGGAGGTCCTTAGCCAGGAAATTATCTTCCCCAAGTTCTCACAGTCTGCAGTACATTCCTATGAAAGTGGGTCTGGTCTGCCAATCCTGGGATTGTAGGCTGGACCCTGAAACCCTAGGGAACAGTGCTCAATAAAAATAACCCTCTCTACATTCTATAACTGACCTCACTGTGCTATGCAGCCCCTGTTCTCACTGAGTAGGTAACTACAATCACAAAATAACAGCAAAACAATAAAAACCAAAACCACACATGCACACACCTTGCCCACTCAAGGCAATTTTTCTCCTTTAAAGTGGCATCTTTCAGGTAAATTCAGTCTTTGGGGTAGAAGACCATATCAAGGTTTCACCACCCCTTTCTCCTTTCCACTGTTAAGCACGCACCTCCCTGACCCTCAAGAAATTCTGGGAAAGATTTCCTTGAGGGGGAACTTTCATCACATCCTTGAAGCAGGTGTTGGTCTCTATGTAGACCTTTTCTGCTGACCTCTGGAAGAGGTGCAGCCCAGCCTGTGGGGCCTTAGGCCATGGGCTGTGCCCAAAATGTCCACGTCTAGCGTAAGTCATGAGTGTTTTCCTTCGCCTTGTCAGTACATGGTGCTGGATCCTGGGGGGCTCAGCCTTGTGCCCTCCTATCCAGGCTTTCCCTGACATGCCACACGTGCTCACCCCTGGGCTGCTGCAGCTTCCAATGTTAGGTTAACCACTCCACACACTCAGAATCCTAGTGGGAAATGGGGCACAGCTGGTTTTAGCTCTCTACCCCCCTCAGCTGGGTGTCTTCTTAGGAATCCAGGAAGGATCTTCCCTTGTCTTAGTCCCTAGGATGCTCTCTCTAAGCTCTTTTTAGCATGCAAAGGGCAGCCCCCTTCTTGTATGAGCAACATTTCCCTTATGTTAAATCCTCCTTGCAAACATGGATTAGAGACACCCACAATGGACTCATGATATGTGTGGGTGGAGCTCCCTGGACCAGGACATTTACACCAACTGTGAAGAGAAGCTTTGGGAATTTTTGGATTCCTTTCCTCCTCCCTCAACACAGTCTGACTTTCAAGACAATTGTTTGGCTAGGGACCTCAAATAATTTAACTTAAAGGTCAGGCTGAGTGATGACTCCCTTGTACCAGGTGGTTGCCCTCCTCCCCTTGAAGCAGTGGGTGACCCAGTTCAAGGTGTGAGAAACCTCATGTCAATGGAGAACTCAAGATTAATGGGAATAGAAATGAACAAATTAAAAAAAACATTTTTTTTTGTTGTTGTTGTTAATCCTCGCTGGAGGATATTTTTTCCATTGATTTTTTTTTTTTTTAAGAGAATGGAGGGAGTGGGAGAGACAGAGAGAAAGAAACATTAATGTGAGAGAGAGACATAAATTGGTTGCCTTGGGCATATGCCCTGACCTACCAGGCTGGAGACCAAGCCTGCAACTGAGGTATGTGCCCTTGGCCTGAATCAAACCTGCGACTCTTCAGTCCACAGGCTGATGCTCCAACCACTGACCTAAACCAGCTAGGGCAAAATGAACAACTTTAATGTTTCAAAAACATTAACCCCATTACATCCTTGCTGGAATACCTGGGTCCCGGCTTTCTGTCTGAGTCTCTAATTATCTCTTGGAAATTGGCCTTACTCCATCTCTAACCCCATCGTCCCTGTATGTGAATACTCCAGCTGGTTGTGTGACATTGGCAGGGGAGCAGCTGTCTGGTTTAAAGGCGTAGTGGCCTGGAACTCTCTCCCTAACTCGCCTGGACCCTCTGACCTACCCCATCAGTCTCTTACTCAAGAGGGAGATGGGGCTGTGAGACCCTGGGAGATCCAGGGCTCGCTGGCATCCAAGTCAGGCCCTCAGGGGTGGGCTTTGGCTCCTGTTTTGCCAGCTACAGGTTTCCTCCTGGCCTTGCTATTGTCTGCAGGCTCTTTCCCCAAATACAGTTTCTCCAGATGGGTCTCAAGCGGCTTTCGTCCTCAGCAGCCCCGTCTGGAATTGGCCTCCTTTCCCTGGACAAAGGTTCATTATAGCTGCAGAGTCCATGCCCATCCCTTTCTCCTTTAGCTAACTTTTCAGAGTCTGCTATACAGTATTTCTCTTTAGCGGGCAGATCCTGCCCTTGGAATATTTTGGCTTAGTCTTAATTATACAAACTTCCTACCACATATATATAATTTGCATATTGTCCAATAGTGAATCTATAGATCAATGAAAGCATTTTAGATTAAATTGATGTCAAAACCACAATGAGGCCCTGGCCGGTTTGGCTCAGTGGATAGAGTATCGGCTTGTGGACTGAAAGGTACTGGGTTTGATTCCAGACAAGGCACATGCCTAGGTTGTGGGCTCAATCCCCAGTGTGGGGCTTGCAGGAGGCAGCGGATCAATGATTCTCTCTCATCATTGATGTTTCTATCTCTTTCTCCCTCTCCTTTCCTCTCTGAAATAAATAAAAATATATTTTAAAAAACCACAAATCACAATGAGATAACACTTCACACCCACTAGGTTGGCTATAATAAAAAAGACAATTGTTGGCGAGGATGTAGAAAAATTTCAACACTCATACACTGCTGGTTGGAATGTAAAATGGTACAGTCGCTGTGGAAAGTTTGGCACTTTCTTCAAAAGTTAGATGTAGGGTTATTACATGGTTAAGCAATTTCACTCCTAGGAATGTACCCAAGAGAAATAAAAACATGTGCACACAAAAACTTGCTCATGAATGTTCATAGCAGCATTATTTCTAATTGCCAAAAAGTGGAAACAACCTAAACATCCACCAATATTTATGGATTATGAATATTATATTGTGTGGTAGAGCCACACAATATAATATTATTCAACTGTAAAAAAGAATGAAGTGCTGACATGTGCTACAACATAGATGAACTTTGAAAACATTATGCCAAGTGAAAGAAGTCAGACATAATGTATGATTCCATTTATATGAAATGTCCAGAATAGGTAAATCCATAGAGAAGTTAGATTAGCAGTTGCCTAGAGCTGAGTCTTTGGAGGGAAGTGAGGAGTGAACCCCTCTCACTGGTACAGGGTTTCTTGGGTGATGAAAATATTCTAAAATTGTGGTATGATTATACAACTCTGTGACTAAACTAAAAACCATTGAATTGTACACTAGCTATACCCTGTACAAATAGGTGACTTGTTTGGTACATATAATGTGGCATACAATATATGATACTATATATATTTACAGAAAAAGATTAACTTTCTTGATGGTAAGTTGCTTTTACATTTTAATTGTAACACCCATATCTATGTTTGCTTCAGCCTCCTAGATAATTGCTTTTCAGAATAAAGTGGCCATTCGTTGAAGCTTTAGACAAATAGGGAACATAGGAGACATTCATTTCTTTGGTCTCCAGTCTTAGAACCGTTTGCCGGAGGAGCTGCCATTGAATGTGGCAAAGCCTTAGCTCACCTCACCCGCCACCCCGTCCAGATCCTGAGAGGGGGCTATGAGTCTTTCTCAGCCAAGTACCACTTTTTCCGGACGCAGAAGATTATCTGGATGCCACAGGTAAGGCAGGGTGCTGAACACAGGCAGGCTCAGATGGGAGCATGGCCTTCCCTTGAAAACCATGGGTTGGGGAACAGAGTAGGAGAAAGAGGAGACAGACAACATGGAAAAGATGAAAGAAATATTGAAGGCTGGGCTTGGGAAATGAACTTGGGGTAGCCAGGAGGTCGAGTCCAAGATTATGAATTTATAATTGTCACATTTGGGGAAAAGCCAACACGGAGTTTAAAAGATGAGGCCTATTCAGAAGGCAGGGGAATTCTGGATTGTGGGTTATAGTCAAAGTCAGAAAGGCAGGGATGGGTGTCATGATTCAAGCTGCCTCAACTTTCTTAACTTTTGGGTCCAGAGGATACAAAAAGGTGAGAAAGCAGTCCCTGCCTTTGAGAAGTTCTTATCTAGTAGGGGAGTCAAGGGGGGTGGCCAAGAGGCACACGAGGTGTATGGAGCCCAGAGGAGAGGCACTACCTTCTGGAGCCAAATCTGAAGGAGGAGGAGCTTGTGAGGAAGAGGGGTGAGGGCATGTAAAGCAAGCATTGGATAGCCATGATTGGCAGGCAGGCATCCATCCCTAGGCGCCATCGTGCAGTACCTGGTTTATTGAGGAATCTGACTGCAGTGGAATGCAGACATCTAAGGGTTTCATTCTTTTCAGTAATTGCCTTTAGCTGTGCTCTCATTTTTGCCCTTAGTACCATCTTGTGGAGATTCCATACTTTGTGGCCTCTTTTGATTATGAAAAATTTCAATTTAGTCATAAAACGATTTGAGAAATGTGCATATTAACTGGGCATTTGATAATAGTAAGGAATTATTATACAGGGTAGGACAAAAGTAGGTTTATAGTTTGTATGGAAAATAATAATAAATAATAATACAAGAATAAACTCTTGTTTTGTATACTCACAACTGTAAACTTTTGCCTGCCGGGAGCCGGTCCATCCTTGCTGTTTCAAGGGACCTGACATATATGGCATACTGTTCTTAATATATTTGCTCACTTTCTTGGCACTATGTGTTTTAACCAAGGTCACCTCTATGAGAAAGGTTGTTTCCCCAGGTAGAGATTTTCCCCTGAAGTTAGGGAGGGAATAAAACCCCTTCA